GATGAATTCTAATTCTACCTTCCATAGCCTCTGTAAGCATTTTCTCTTTTATGAAATATATGAAACAAGTTGCTGAGTAATGAGTGTCTATATTTTAAGCCCTACCTCTCCCCACCGAAGACTGTCTCATTGTTCCACAAAACCTAAGAGAATTGGGAAAGTATCAGAAGCATTTTCATTCAGGTTATGAGCAAATCAAAGATGTTAACTCTATATAAACTAAGGTCCCAGCAGAAATCAAATGGCACACCCAAATTAAGATTATCTGACAATGATTTAATAAAGAAACTAGAATACAAAAGTATGAGCAGGAGATAGAAAAGGAATAGTAAGGTAACCTCCTTTAAACAGTAGCAACAAGGGGAGGAAGAAACTGCTAGAACCAAGAAAGAGATTGTTATTAGTGAGGAACCCACTTTCTAGTGCATCGATGCCTCCCTTACTGATATCACAGTCCAGGTTCATACTGTATTAGTGACATGCACTATTAGCAAGTTATTCAGGTTATTAAGACCTTGTCCTGTTCACATTAAAGCTTTAATCTCTTATTGGATTCAGAGCTTCTCTCTCTACAAGCAGGCAAAAATGGTGACTAGGAGTAGGAGGAGGAAGGTGTGGGTTTCCCTCATGCATACCTTTTCTCTTTTTCATCGTGGTAGTTCCCCCGGTGTTGAGAAGGAAGGAGAAAGAGGCAAAAGATGACTATTTATATTTCAATGGTGACCATTAGTGGTTATTATTTATTTAGGGGTCATTGTCAATTTGGGTAGCGTTAATGCTATTCAACTTCATTGTCTTTGGAGAAGTAGAATCTAGATAGAGCTGGCTGGTGTTAAGACTCATTTCCCAGTGACAAGGCACTGATGGACTCTTCCACATGGCTCAAGACTTGGCCACTGATTCCTTCTGCAATTCTCCTGGTACTGGCATGCCTCTTTGCCCCATCTGTGACAATCCATGACAAGACCATAGCTCACAATCATATCCTCCCTCTCTTGTCCCCAACTCTGGCACTTAAAGGCCATTCAGGAACCATCTCCCATACTTCTTAGCAACTATAACCTTAAGGAGGTGGTCCTAGTACATTCAGTGGCTAGTCAACCCCCAATTGGCCCTGCTTAGTTCATATTACCAGCTAACAGGCAACTATAAAAATGAAATGCCCCTGTTGCTGGTATTTCCAGAGTTTAGGAGTATTTCTCTCAGAGTTTTCTCCCCTTCACCCAAAGTGATCACTTTCTGCCTTTTAATCCTTTTATCAAAAGGCTGGAGTAAAGGGAGAAGGGTCCTTGTGGTGTACTGGCTCTTCTCAGCATGTCCTGTTGAGACATTTTAGCCCAAATTCAGTGGTTTTCTAAGGTTAGAAATTGGAAATCTCTTAGAACGATTTTCATATTTGGTCATTAGCAGAAGAGGGTGTAAATTGTTACAATCTGGGGCAAAATTAAAATTCAAATTGACAAACTTTACTTCTAGAAATTATACTATAGATGAATGTGCAAATATAAAAAATAATTATTCATTATAGTCTGTTTCTAATAGTAAAGGATAGAAAACAACTAAAATGTAAATTATGTTATATTTATATAATGGAATGAAGGCCAAACATTATTTTAAGTGTTTTAAATGTTTTAATATTTGTAAACAGTTCAATGATTTATTTTTAAGCAAATACTCATCGAATACTTACTTTGTAGTTAGTCCTGTGATATTCCGGGCTATGGTAAAGAATGAGGGATGGGTTTACATATGCTCAAATGGACTGATCTTCATAATACATATTTTAGGTAAAAAGATAAAAAGTAAAGCATAGTTGGAGCATGTGCTTCTAATTGTGAAAAAATGTATATATTCATAAATGATATATTTTTTAATTAATTTTATTTTCAGTTATCATTGGCAAACAATACAATATTAGTTTCAAAGGTATAACATAGTGATTAGACACTATGATTAAATCACAAAGTGATCACTCCAATAAATCTAGCGCCTCTTTGACACACCATACATAATTATTACAATATTATTAGCTAAATTCATGCTATACTTTCTATCTCCATAACTATTTTGTAACTATCAATTTGTACTTCTTAATCCCTTCCCCCTATTTCACCAACTCCCCAACCTCCCTGCCATCTGGTAACCCTCAAAATGTTCTCTATATGAGTTTATTTCTTTGCATATACATGCATTCATATGGCATTTGTCTTCCTCTATCTGACTTACTGTACTCAGCACACTACCATCATAAAATAAATTTTTCTATCCCCTTACTTTTAGTCTGTCTTTTCATCTGAAGTGAGCCTCATATAGGCAGCCTATGTAAGGGTCTTGGTTTCTCATGTATTCAGCCACCCTATCTTTTGATTGGAGCATTTAATTCTTTTTCATTTGAAGGACTAATTGATAGATATGTAGTTATTGCCATTCTTTAGACTTTTGATACATATTTTTTTCTTAAGTCCCTCCAACATTTCCTGTAATACTAGCTTGATGGTGATGAACTCCTTTAGCTTTTTCTTGTCTGAGAAGCTCTTTATCTGTCCTTCGATTCTAAATAACTTTGCTGCGTAAAATAATCTTTGTTGTAGGTCCTGGATTTTCATCACTTTGAATATTTTGTGCCAAGCCCTTCTGGCTTGTAAAATTTGTTGAGAAATCAGCTGACAGTCTCAAAAGCGTTCCCTTGAATGTAACTAATTGCTTTTCTCTTGTTGCTTTTAAGATTCTCTTTGAATTTAATCTTTGGAATTTTAATTATGATGTGTCTTGGTGTGAGACTCTTTGGGATCATCTTGTTTGGGACTCTCTGAACTTTCTGGGCTTGTATGTCTATTTCTCTTTCCAAGTTAGGGAAGTTTTTCATCATTATTTCTTCAAATAGGTTTTCAATTCCTTGCTCTCTGTCTTCTCCTTCTGGTACCCCTATGGTACAAATGTTATGTTTAATATTGTCCCAGAGGCTTCTTAAACTATCTTCATTTTTTTTTTTATTCTTTTTGCTTGTTGCTGTTCAGATTGGGTGCCCATCTTCATGTCACTAATTCAATCTTCCGTTTCATCCACTGTGTCGATTCCCTCTAATGTACTCTTTATCTCAGATACTGTATTCTTCATTTCTGACTGGACCTCTATTATGTTTTCTATTTTTTATATTTTCTATCTTTGTTAAATTTCTCACTGAGTTCATCTACTCTTCCTCTAAGTTCATTGAGCATCCTCATAACCAGTGTTTTGAACTCCGCATCTGGTATATTGCTTGCCTTCATTTTGGTGAATTCTTTTTCTAGAGCTTTGTTCTGTTTTTTTTTTTTCATGTGAGACAGGCTTGTTTCCCATTTTGGCTGCCTTCCTGTGTCTGTTTCAATGTATTAGGTAGGGCTCCTAAGTCTCCTGGTCTTAGTAGGATGGTTTTATGTAGTAGGTATGCAGTGGGGCCCCTTGGCACAGATCTGGGAGGGGTCCAGCTGCAGGTCAAGTTCAGCCATAGCCTGTGCACCTCTGGGGCCACCTGGTAATAGACATCTTGAGGGGCCAAGTTAGAAACCAAGGCAGGCTGCTGCTAGTGTGGGGATTGGGCTGCTCAGCAAGGGGTACAGAGCATGCCAAGGCCAGATGGTGCTTCTTTGGGTTTTGTGAGCCTTTGAGAGATTTTATGAAATGTTACAGCATGGGGCCAAGACAGCCGTTTATATGGAATAAATTACCAGAAGCAGCTTGGGTAGGCCCACAAGTTGGGAGAGGCAGAGCAACCTGTGTTATCCAGGTTGATGGTACCTGTGTCTGCAGCCTGGGAGGGCTTAACAAAAGAACAATGGCTTCTGCCTGCACCCCTATCCTGGGGCAAGCCTCCCCTCCAGCCCTCTCCCTGAAGCCCAACAGCTCAAAGCCTCCCGTATGTCCCTGGCACCCCTCAAGCAGCTGCACCAGCACTAGCACTCAGTGAGAGAGTCAGGCCCAGTGTGGGCCCTTTAAGAGGAAGGTCTCCACTTCCCGCAGCCCTCTATCTTACTCGGCCATAACCTCTACTGGTTTTCGCAGCCAGAAGTTGTGGAGACTTCTCTTCTCAGCTCTGGAACCCTGGGCTTGGGAGCCCAGTGTGTGGCCAGGACCCCTCGCTCCTCCCATTTGGGGAAGGGGCTCTGCAGCCAAGATAGCCCTCTTGATTCTCGATTGCCTCTCCTAGTGTTTTAAGGTGATCTAGTTGTAGGGCTTCTGTTCAACCACATACTGGTTGCTGTATAGTTTTATTATAATTTTGGTGTGATTACTAGAGGAGGCGTGTACAGCCTCTGCCTTCTACGCCATCTCAAATTGAGTATAAATGATATGTTAATAGATGAGTATATACTAAGAGGCTGGTGTTATTATCCCTATTTTACAAATGAGAAAACTGAGCCTTGAGTGTATAGCAAATTCTGATCACGGAACCAGTGGTGGCATAACTGATTTGAATTCAAGTTTATCTGATCCCAAATCACAGGCACTTTCCAATGCTTGACTAACCTTTATCAAGGTAGACTACTTTTTAGACCTTATAAATATGTCATAGAACTTATCACAGTATATTGCAATAATATTTATATGTTAGTCTCTCCTGGCCTACTGTAGGCTTCATGATGGCAGGTGCATTGGCATGGGACATTGTAGCAAAGGTCTTAAGGGAATGACAACACATCTTTGCACATAAGCAATAAATAGAGCTTTATTAAGTGCCTGGTAAGGCATGTGCAAGTTCTTTTAACAATAATACTAACACAGTATCTTATGTCTGAGGACCATATGAAATTTTAGCTCAATGGGCAACATGTATATACCCATGTCTCAAAATTGTATTGCAAATTTAATTAGTGGACATTTACCAATACCTATTATGTGCTATTAATGAAAAGAACCATTCATTTCCAGAAAAGGACACTTTAAAGTCCCTTATGCAGAGAATGTAGATGTCTATTAAGTAGTCTGAAAGTTCAGGCCAGTAAATTTCCACTTGTTTTCAGGTCGATCCTCCAAAGATTCAGTGGGTCAGATATCTGTTCATGTGGACATCACCACCACCCCAGGAACTGGAGAGCATAAAATCACTGTAAAAGGTATATTTCAGATCCAAGAAATCAAAGAGGCCATTAGATTTTAACCTCTACAGTAATATTAAAATATAATTTTTCTTTAGATCTGTTTTTAAAACTGTATATTAAATGATTTTATAGCATGCTTAGAATTTCATGAAACCAGAACTTTTTAAAAAATCAATGGCGCAGATATTTAGCCTATATTATTTGAAATATCTAAATGATTCAAATACATTAGTGATTACATTTCATGACTATATTTTGAACATTTTCTTTGTGGTTGATGCTATGATATATATTGAACATTAGTGCCATGATTGGCTCCATAACTTGTCAATCAAATTTTAGATAAGTCTATATGTTCTTACTAATTTATCTCCTTTTTCTATGTGATTTCCAACAACTGGTTTGATTTTTTTTAATAATTGGTTCAATCTATTGGTTTTACATTGTAAAAACACAATCTCAATGCAAGAGTCATTTCAAAGGTGAAATTTAATATATTGCTCAATAGAACCACATTTTTGTATTATAGACTTAGTCATTTAAAATATTTAAACCAATGTCTGAAGATTTGTGAACCTTTTGCATTAGCAAATTAAGATACTTCCTTAAGGATATCATCAAAGAATGTACATTTAAGAATTATTTATGATGCCTGAAGTTGGGAAACAAGCATAATGTTTAATAAGTGGTTAAATATAGGATGAACTATCTATATAAAGGAATATTTGCTGTTGGAAAATATATTATGAATATATAAAGATCCATGGTGGATTTAAAAAATACGGCTACTTATAAGACTAATATTTTATGATTTCATTCTATATATAATTAAATATTGAAAGCATATACACGAAAGTATTTCCTCTGAAAAATTAGATTTATTTTAATCCATTTCCTGTATATGTTAAACATTTTATAATGAACACAATTTTATCTAAGAGGAAAAACTTTTCATTAGTAATAAATGTCATTTCAATTACAGCTAACTTTTTGCCACATCAGTGCCACACAGCTTAGAGCTGACAGCCCCATCAAGTGTGCATGCCAGAGAGTTGTTTTTCTTCAAGGATATTTTCTTGTCAATGGAATTAGGGCACTATCAAATGTAAATTATGGCTTCATACATCATTTTAATAATAAAAATTCATTCTAAAGACCAAAAAGAGAGGCTAATAATTCACACATTTATTTGCTAACACTTTTGGTTTCTCTTTTTGGTTTTTAGTGATTGCCATCAGTAACCTCAACTGGCAGACTACTGCAATGTTCCGCCCCTTTGTTGAAGTTTGTATGCTGGGGCCCAACCTTGGAGACAAGAAGAGAAAACAAGGCACAAAGACAAAAAGCAACACGTGGTCACCCAAGTACAATGAAACATTTCATTTGTAAGTCATGACCCAAATTATTTATTCAACTAGATGATAGACACTGTATAGCTAAACTTATAGAGGGGTTCATGATAGGAATGGCACTGGGCTTTGCTAAGGAAAATGAAACCTATGTGTTTAAGTATTGAACTTCATCAGTCATCCCAGGCAAATGAAGGCTATATTTTTAGTTCCTTTCCATTTGCTCAGCATCTGTTCAGTACCTACCATATATCAGGCAATATTATAGGCATTGGGTATGTGCAATAGGAGGTCTCTGTTTTCATGGAAGTTACTTTCTAGAGATGAAAAACGTAAAATCACAGATTTATCATATGATAGAATTATACAGAATTAAAACAGGGTGATATGATAGAATGGTTGATTGGTTGCTTAGATTGAGCATTCGAAAAGCCTCTCTGAACAGGTGACTTAAATTAAAATCTGAGAAAATAACCAGTCATGTAAGGAAGGGTATTGAGAGCATTTCAGGCTAAGTAAAAGTACAAGAGCTCTAAGGCAAGAGCCTACTTGGCATATTTAAGAAACGGTGTATAAGGGCAAGAGGTGGTCAGAGTACAGGAGACTAGGTTGATTCTAAGTTAAATAGAAGGCCTTGAAAGATTTTCAGATAAGAGGATAAACAATCTCGTTTACATTTTTAAGTAATTATTCTGTTTGCTGTATAGAGAAATAATTATAGGGAAGGAAGACCAAATATGTAAAGGTGAGTTAGAAGGCTATTGCAATAATCCAGGCAAGAGATAATCTTGACTGACCAGATGGTAGTAGGGAGATAGAAGTGGAAAGATTCTAGATATTGATTAAAAATAGATTCTATAGAACTTGCAGTGGACTGGAGGTAGAACAAAAGTATATGTTAGGTTTCCAAGAACATTTAATTTAGGGTATTAAAGACTTATTTACAAAAATGTGAGAATACAGGGACTTCAAGGAATTATGATATAACCTGGAGCTGGTAGTAGTTGCCCCTACTGCAACAGAGGAAGGATAGGAAGACTCGTTACTAAAACTAGGGAAGTGAAAGTTTCATGTATAGTCAGTCAGCCACCTTAAAAGACTAGTAGCCTTCCATGGAGGAAAACAGCCCTCTTGAGGCGGCCGCACAGGCAAGGAGCCAGGAACATAAAGACTTTGACCTTACTCTCATTACTTCTGATTTCCCCATGGGGCTCCCTTTTGGCCAACACTAACTGGAAGCCATAGCACAGAGAAACTGTAGTCCTTACAGGCCAGCAGTCTATTGCAAAGTGCAAAGAGAAGGATGGAGAGTAGATCCCACTGGGGCAAATGGAAGATATCTGATACCAAATGAAATCAAGGATGACCCCGAGGTTTTTGGCAGTAGCAAGTGAGTAGATAGTGATTTACTAAGATGGGAGAGATCAAGGATTTTAAATCTATTAATTCGGAGGTGCTTATTAGAGCTACAAGAAGAAATATCAAGTACACAACTAGATATAACTTGAGAATAATCTGCATATTTGTAATTCCATAAATATAGATGATGTGAGCTAGGGGCTTGCACACACCACAACGGTCTCTGTTGGTTTGGTTTTTATTTTGCACTCAAGTTCCCAGAGAACTTTCAGCATTCTGTGCTCTGAATACTTAACTATTCTATCACATCTGTTAAAAGGGTTAATAGATTAATCATAATACCTGCTAACAAACCAGCTCACTAGATTCTATCTCTCTATTCCAAATTGTGCAAAACAAAATTGATCCAATTAAAATGCCTTCTAAACTGTTCTAGAAGTACTTGAATCATGCAAGATATAACACTTAGAGCTACCAGGACCCAATTCTGGGAAAAGGCAGCATTTTGATATACTTCATTTCACAAGAAGATATGGCTCCTGTCATATTTTGTTTTACTATTCTTATCCACTAGGCTTCTATTTTCTTTCATATTTCATATTGTCACTAAGTCCACAGTTTAGTTATCACTGTCACCCAAAAACGAAAGTTTGAGTCACTAGAAAGAGATGTAGAAGTTTGGGTGAGGGCTAGATGTGCATTCACTGGAAAGTCAAGAATATCTGAGAGTGAATTAAAATAAAGGGCAGGGGAGGATTATTCTCAGCATACCACTCAGCCTTCTTCATTATGTCCAGTCGGGCACTGATAGTTGTCTTGGGTTGTTATTAGTAGAGGCCATCGGCAGCCCCACACTTGACTAGGCTAACTTTTGCCATACGAGAGCACTGGCCTTTGCTGGAACTAATTTACTCTGGAGATTTGTATCCAATTTGGCATCTTGTAAATAGTGCTTGATAGTCTGTGCAGTATATTCCCTTGAGAAAAGGCTTCTAGCTCTAACAGCATATCCAGGAGTCTGAAGTAAAGAAAAGAAGTTATAATAACTGATCTTGAAAAGGCACATAAATTCTTCCAAGAGGTTCCCCTCACTCTGGCCTAGCTCCCATGACCCCTAGCAACCCCAACCTATCCCTATATCAGTGGGGAGACCCTGCCTCCAATGATTAAGTACAATATAATATTTTAATTCCAGCTTCTACTGATACACTTAACATCAGGCCAGTAAAGCATATTTAGATGTATTTCCTATTTAGAGAAAGTTTTTAATTGTCTTTACATAGATATATTACTTGGCACTCTAAAGAGTATTTGCATCAGAAATAAAATACAATGATACTCTGTTTGCCAGTATAATCTGAGCAATGTATAACATTTTAACGGTACTTTTTAAACTACATTGCATGGAGTAAATTTTTGCTCAACATTCATATTTTTAATCTACACAGCATTCTGGGTCATGAAAACCGCCCAGGGGCCTATGAACTTCATCTTTCCGTTAAGGATTACTGCTTTGCCCGAGAAGATCGAATTATCGGAATGACAGTAATTCAGCTACAGAACATAGCAGAAAAGGGAAGTTATGGGGCATGGTATCCTCTTTTGAAAAATGTCTCTGTGGATGAAACTGGTTTGACTATCCTTAGAATACTCTCTCAGAGGACCAGTGATGATGTGGCTAAAGAATTTGTAAGACTTAAATTTGAAACAAGATCTGCTGAAGAGAGTGCTTGAAAAGAATACTGAAGACACCATCTTTGCGAATTCATAAACTCTAATTGTTTGACTACTGCATGCATGTGCAAATACATGGGAATGTTTCTTTTACTACGTTTCAGTGTTTGCCAGTATTCACATACAATGTCAACAAGGTATGTGGAAAACCTGAACTTTTACACCATTTCTGGTCTTTGGGTAATAAATGTTCCATGAAGTGCCAAAATTCTGACGTAAAGTGAAATATCCAGAATCTTTTTAAATGTTGATTTCATTTTATTACCAATTTCTCATCCATTAAACATACTCAACAATTAGTCTTTTGAGTTTGTCTATTAATTGTCTTTGTTAAATTAGTTTCTATTGCCCATGGATCAGAAAGGATTTGTTACTCAAATTCTGTTTTATTTAGACTTACCTCATTGTAGATGTCTTACAAATACCCTTTTCTATCATAACTAGAAATGCAGTCACTTCTAGAAAGCATTTGTAATTTTATAGTTGCAGATATATTGTGATGATTTTTGCATACAAATTAAAATAGAAAAGGTGGGAAATATTTTATGCTGACAGGTTTCCAACCTTTCTGAAATATCACTGTGAAGAAATGCTGTTAAAGCAAACTTGTACAAAGCAATGCTAAATAGAGTTTGTTAACAATGTTTGATATATTAACAAAACTTTGTTCTTTAAAACTGCCAAGGTCACATCACATTTGTAAAAAAGGTAAGTTGATACATTTGCCATCTAGCATTATGTCTTGGCTTTACCATATTTCATTCTTTAGAATGTCATGGGATTAATGGTTTCGAAATGTGATGGAAGGTTTTTTCATAAAATTACCTATGATAAGTAACTATACTATTAGTGTTTTCCCTCTGACAGTTATGACTATTTTATTTCCTTAGCACTGTATAATCAGTTAAATACTTTTTTCTTTTAAAAATATTCAACACCATATACTGAATGCAGCATTACTATATATTGCACTAGAGCAAAAAGTCACGTCCTTAACTGTTTAGTGAAAAATGTAAACGTCTAAAGAAATTGCTTATAATTTTGTAATTTGTTATTTATAAGACCAAGATGCATCAGATGAAAACAATACAGCAAGGTACATAATAAAACTAAGTTGGATTTTGAATATAAAATAGTTTATGAATATTTGCATTTTCTGTATTTTTATGGCTTGACTTTTTTAGAGTCTGCATCTAAATACTTGGCTGTAGAACAGTACTTTGTAATTTATGGTCATAACTGTTAGTGGACAACATACACATGCAGAAACAAGAACCAGTTATTGTGTTTTGCAAACAAGCTGGTCTGATATGTTAAGAACAGAAATAAATATTATCATGACTCTCAGAACCATTCTGTTACTGGATGTGAAAGCACAGACTGGTGAGATCCACTAATTCATGTTAAATTGTTAGGCAATTGCTTTGTTAATGACTTCTCCAAATGCATAGTACAATGTGATCCTCTGGCATATGCATTAATAAATGGATGTATATTGAGTACATGTAACACTTTATTGTATCTTCTGCCTTATTTAATTATGCAACACCATTTCATTATTTAGAAATAACAACTACAGCCTTTTTTCCTTTACTGGATAGAAGAATCTTTATACTCTTTGGTTCTAATATCTCAGAGTTTGAGATATTGAAAAATTTTCCAGCACTGGTATTCATGGAAATGGCTACATAATCCAAGATAATGACACTGAAAATAATAAGAAGTGATGTAGCTAACTGTATGTCTCTGAATACCGTTAAGCCCCATAAGAAAATTCAGATATAACTATATGAGCAGTCAACCTGTAAACAAGCAACACTGTTAAACAACAGCTTACTCATTATTTCAGTGAAGGACTCACTCTAGATTTATCTTATAATGATCTTACAGAACATTGGCTTGACCTCTTTAGGAGCACTTTAATGTCATAAAACATGATACACTTGACTAAATGGCATTTTGAGTTTGCACCAATTACTTAAAAAGATTTTAAGCTAAGTATTTTTCCAGTATCCATTCTCTTGTTTAAATATAAAATCTATAACAGCAGTGTGAATTGAATCTATTTATTATAAAATACAGATACTAATTTCGAAAGTTAGAAATTCTGCAGTTTTTGTTGTTTCTCCCAAGACACAAGTATTTCTGCTCTCTTCAAAACAATGTCTATTGTGTTTACATACCCAAATTAGTAGTCACTGAGGCTCACAGCAATCTGTGTCAACTATACACTCCATTAAAGCGTATGTCAATTTATATTATTCTAGATAAAATGCACACAGATGTTATTTTATAGATGAACTTCTCATTAGAGGTTCTTAAAGGAACAAATGAAAATCAACTTTGGCCAAAATGAAGTATTTACAGTCATACTGGATCATTTCTTATATTCAAATAACCTAATTACTCTATTTCTAGGATAATTTACATATTGAATTTCTCTTAAATGAGGCACATTTAAAAATGACAATTCTAGTTTAATATTTTTCATTTGGTATTTTTAAATAAATGATGTGATGTTTACTTTCTTTTAATTTTTCTTTATTATATAGATATAACTATATGAGCCCTATGTAGTAGCTTTAATCTTTATACTTAAATAATTAAAAATAACCATATTTATGCAGGACTCAAGAAATATCCTCAAGTAGATAGCTGATTCCCCTATTACCACTTGGCAGAATTCTTGAACACATAGGGAAGAACGTCCACAGAAAAGAAAAACCAATGGCAATAAATTTAGAGATACTCTCAATGAAAATGAAAATGTAAAATATCCTTTACTTATCAAATTGGCAAAAAAATATTAAAAAGTTGATTCAAGAATCAACATAATATTTTGAACAATTCTTCACCAATAGCATTAATAAGATCCAAGTATACTTTGCATCCATTAACTACAGGAGCTGAAAGAAAATGTTTTGGATGCAATAAATAGCACACATTGTGATGATGATGATGGCAAAGAGAAATAAATAATGAGAAGATATTACATTTGCAGCAGGATAACCCTTTGTTGTAGGGTTATTGTAGGATATTGAACAGCATCCCTGGCCTCTTCCCTGGGTCCAGATATCATGGCCTTTACCTTAAAAATTGGCAAGAACCAATTTTTACACCTATTAAACCAGGTGTAAACAGGTTGGCTGTATAACAAACCTCTCCTCTGTCACCTACCCTTCTAAACTCTCAGTGCTAAAATATTGCAACCAAAGAAGGTTGTGTTCCTCTAGTATTGGTTCTTTCTGAAAGTTTAGAAATAAATCTCTGATTTAAAAAAGAACATCGGCATCAAGACAGCATGAGAAAACTTCTTGGTCTCTTTCTAAAGTTTCAAGTTGGACAACTGTAATTCAACAAATCATTACCTGTGTAACACACACACATCTGAAGGTGGGCAAGTCATAGAAAGCAGGAGAGGCATGAAGGTGGGAAGACAGAGATGAGAGCTGCAGATGCAATATGGTGTTTACCAGGGCCCAGCAGATGTCCTAGCAGTGAATAGTCAAGTTACCTGTTCTGGGCAGGCCAGAGGGAGCATTCTAGCCTGAGTGGCAGGAACACTTCGAGGTTGAGCTCAGGGACAGGAGCAGAGAAGTGGTGCAAAGGGTGAAAGCTATAGTAGAGCAGCCCTCATCACCGGAGGGAAAAAAAAGAGCTGGGGATTCATTAATTTATACCCCCTCGGCCTCCCGTAGCCCACCCGGCTCCAGTAGATATAGCAACGATGGAGGCAGGTCATGAAGGGGCAGTAGCAACATTCCAGCCAGAGTGGCCTGTACTCATTGCAGCTAAACCCAGTGGAAAAAACAAAGCCCTTCCCTCACCCATCACAGCGAAACATGGTAGAGGCAGCTGGAATACCTCAGATAGCACCCTGTGGCTGACAGCTTCCGGTTGCAGGAAAGCAGCACTGGAAATTCAAAGGACCAGAGCTCCATTGCCCATCACATCCTACCATTGGGGGTGATGCCCTGAGACTTAGGTGACCAGGTCATAGAGGGGATGCCCACCTCCTAGGGGAATATGAAACATTTTACACAGCAGAGGTGACACCGCCCCCACAGAGATCTGGTAAGTCCCAGTAGTAGAGGTAAGAGAAAACAAAAAAGGAATGATAATTATGTGATAAGAGGCGCTCGCTAACACGACAATGGCAATCATACTGCAATATATAAATATATCAAATCAACATTTGTACACCTTAAAATTACATTATAGGTCAAATATATTTTGATTTAATAGAGAAATCCAGGCCACAGGAATAAGGACTAAAAGCAAATACCAGTTATAATTTACAAAGATATTGACACATCAAAATAGAATGGAAAACACGGGACATTTGAATAATACATTTAACCAGAAAGAATTGATAAGTCACTCTTAAAATTTGCAGATATTATAAATAGTGCATATACTTTCTCAAGCCGTATAGAAAATTCGCAATATTAATCTTTTGTCACTAAGGAAATATCATTAAATAGGTAGGAAGGGGGTGAGAAATGAAGGGGAAAGGAGAAATACATGCCATACTAGACATATTCTAATAGGTAACAAAATTAACTCACCTTTGGCAAAAAGATGAAAATATAGGCAAAATAAAGCACAAAAACTTACAATATTTTAAAATTTATAACCCCTTGCTAATAAATTTTAAAGTGTGAATAAAACATATACTTCTCTGGCAAACTTATTTACTAAATATATTAGTCCAAGTAAATAACATTAGCTTTTGTAGCAAGCAATGCAAAGTCTCATGGCTCAAAACGATAAAGGTTTATTTCTTACTCACAGCAAACTCGGTGTGGTTTGGTTGATTCCTGGGCAGATTGTTTTTAAGCAGTGACTTCAGCATCCTTCCTCCACGTGCAGCCATCTAGACAAGAGAAAAAATATGGACTATTTTAAGGTAGTCATGGAAGTAGCATATATCATTATCCATCCACATTCCACTGGCCTAACTGAAAGGCCACCTAACTGCAAGGGCGGCTAAGCAAAGAAGGCATCCTCTGTTTCCTGAAAGGAACCCAGCTAGCATTACTGAGCATAGAGCCAGTTTCTGCCATGTGAACATTGACTCATAATGAAGCACAAAGATGGCTGAGCTGTAACTATGGACACAATTGAAATTATTATAAAAGAATCTTATCTCTAAAAGTTCTGGAAGAATCTAGTTTTATTCGTGAGTTCATGAAATATTCAAGAAGCAGTTCATATCTATATCCTATGAAATTTTAGAGCATTAAAAAAGGAAACTATTTTATGAAGCTAATTTAACACTGATTTCT